AACACTTTGTTGTAACAATATGGATATGATCTAGTTGACTCTGTAGAGCTGGTGTGGTGTAACGGTTTGGGTGTTGGAGACACAGTTCATATCCTCGTTCTGCCATGGAAGCCCACTAAGAGACCTTGGGCAAATGACATTCTCTCTGCCTCAGAAAAAAACAAAACAAAGGCAATTCCTCTCTAAACCAATCTTGCCAAGAAAACTCTGCCTTAGGGTCTTCAGGGTTGAAATGACTTAAAGACACATAACAAGGAAGTTAATTTCAAACTACAGGCTTAATAAAAATGCTCCCAAGATAATGAAGATGTAGCTCAGCATATTTGTTAAAATGGAGGGGAGATGTTCCACAATTTGAGTTGACTCAGGAAGATATCATTGCTCATATTAGTGAAGTTAATGATGCACAGCTGTCTCTTATCAGCTCTTGCAGAATTTTGGTATTAGCCACAGAGCTGAAATAACATATGAATGCTGCCAACCTTTGATCATTCATGGAAATTGAATAATCAGCTATGACACCTGCTTAAGATGATGGTTTGAGTGGCAATGATATGGACTGTATAGCATTTTGAAAGAACAGTCAATGGGAACAATTGCACCAATTCGGATTTGTCCCACGCTGTAAAGGCAAACTCATACCTAACGGAAATAAGGGAGACTAAATGACCTAAGAAAGTACTCAGCTTTGGAACGTGACTTATATGAATGAATACTGATACAGTTTGGTGGAACTTGATTTCAAAGAAAGAATAATTTATCAATTTTTTTCATTCCAAAACCAACAGAGCAAAGTTTTTTCCTCAGAAGGGCATATACTCAACGCGCTTCAACCTATAATCTTCCATATCGCAACCAACATCTTGCACTGTCTTATTCAAGTGAGATAAACTGCAGAAGTCATCTTTCAGGCAAAATGACTGACTCTAGAGCTGAACTTCAAGATCAAAGTCCTGACAAGCCAGGGAAACTGCGAATGATCACCCAGAGAGCAATAGGTGATGCCAATAGTGGCAAATAACGCAGGTATCAGTATCTGGGTCAATGTTGATTGACTTTGCTTGCTGCTTTATCTTTTTCTTTCTCCTGACTTTTTTTAAATTGAGAGAGCCAGCTGGGGGCATTTATATGATAACAGAAGGTAATTTTGTTCTTTTTAGTTTTAAGAGATGTCATATCATATCAATCAATCTATCTATCTCTATCTATTATCCATTCATCTTGAGAGGGAAGGGGAACCCTTGTTAGCTAGTTCAACCAAAACAGCAAAAATTGTGTCTTCCACATAAGATGCATCATGATCATTTTTGAAAAGAACATTGTATTTACCACCAGAGCAGCAAACTCTACTTTATTACTGTAGTCGTGAGAGTGCCATGACAAAGTCCCTTCAGGGAGAGAGGGCAGGTTAAAAATAAAGAATTATTATTATTATTATTATTGAAATGAAGAAAAAAAACCTACACCTTAAAAAGTGATTTCTTTCCTTTTTTGGTTAAGTGCACTTTCTTTATTGTATTCCAAGATATAAGGGATGCACAAATAGTGGCATAAGTAGAAGAAGAAATATTTTGTCCTTTACAACTGAACAGAACTGAGGTTCATTAGTCCAGAATCTTTCAACTTTGTGATTCTATGACCTAAAATCATCCAGTTGCATCACTATTTCAGTCTACCTGGGAGTTTTAGTTTAACAAAATAAGATACCGAAGTTGTGTTTCCAATGAAAGAATTCCATGAACATTTTTTACTTAGCTCCTTTCTTCTTTTTCTCTCCTCTGCAACAGACCAACAAGTACAACCAAAATTATCTTTATCTTTGGTTTTTCCAACCCAAAGTGGTTGTTACATTTAGCATATACAGCATTCATTTCTTAGTCATCATTGTAGCAATCATCTTATGGGTTAAATAATTAATTTAACTTAAAGAAGTGGGCTGCTGAGAAATTAAGTGGTGAGACATGCCACCTGTGTTATACAGGAGCCTTGTTGATTGTTACCGTAATTGTTGTTCCTAAAAAATCTTGGAATACCTTATTTTCCTATGAGATTTCTGTGCAAACATCAGGCTCTCAAACTTCTAAGAAACATGACTAGAAACTTCACAAACCATTTCCTAATATACCATTTTGTCTTTAGCCAAATAAAGTGCAAAGCTGAAAGCACAAAACTAGAAGCAGATTTCTTGTCCAAGGATAAGAATGGCTAGACTTAAATTATTAACTATATGGAAAACACTAGCTGACTTGTGAATAAGAAGAGTGAATAAGCACCAAGAGCTTTAAAAATGTGCAAGTTCCATTAGGCTGAAAACACCAAGGATGATTTGGCTACTCAAAGAAGTAGGATATGGGACAAAACAGTTTTTAAGAGCTAAGAGAAAAAGGGGGGAAAAAACTTTTTTATTTTGTAAATATCAATGGAATTTTCACATTGAGTGTGACCCTCTTAATTCTGGAGAGGGCTTTCCATTGCTCCTCCATCCCAGTATGTATTGCCAGGCGTTATCTTATGCCTACCACAGAGTTATTCACTCTGCAGTCCTCACCTTGAGACTGAGATTTAAAGGCAGGCCTCAAGGTTGCAATAGCTGATCTAACAGCTTTACTCTTTGTCTGCATTATTATCTATTTTTTGTATGACTATCCTGATGAAAAGTTATTGAGATCCTGAAAGTTCGTGCATATTTGTGGCATTTTATGGGTTCTGAAAGGGTCAAATATCCCCCACCAACCCCCACCTATGGCCCAACAGCATTAGCTTTGTTTTTGTTCTTACTCTTTCACTTTCACTGTCTTCCCTCTCCTTCTTTCTCACACACCTGCACACTGGATGCCCACAATTCAGTGAATATTTACACTTGTCTAGATTTGGCATTCACTGTTAGGTTATACAAATGACTGCTATCAATACCATATGGATGTCATGAATGCAGATTTCATGGGCAGCTCACCAGTGACTGCTGCCTACAGTTTTATTTAGAATATCAACAATTCTATTTTTATCTGAGTATTCACCAGATTTCAGATATTTTCCAGGTTGAAAAGATATGATGTTCCCTAATGTATGTGTCTGTGTATGATTCCTTTAAGGGACAGTGAGAAATCTAGGCTAGTATTATCAGAAACAAGTAATTTCAAGAGGATATAATATATATGATTTATTAGCCTTACTGTGATTCTCGCGTGGACAAGCTAGATATTAGAAACATTGCCAAAGTACAGCACTAGCAGATGAGTTCAAAAGGATGTTGCCAGGTCACTTTGAACCAAATCCAAAAGCCTTCTGTGCAGTTTTGAAATGGAAAACCAAACATTTTGAAACACTGTATTAAAAGTTGTCTAGGAGAAAAAAAACATTGATTTTCCAGTAATTTATTGAAACCTGTGGGCAAAATAGCTTAGTCAGAGCCACCTTACATACCACTCTGCTTCAGCAATAAGAATCAAGGAACACACAGCAGAACTAATTACAACTGCAGTGGTTCAAGGACATTATTTTTAAAGAGGCTCCATTGTGTTTTAAAATCTGTAGGCGGGTTGTCAGGTGGTTACGTTTGCCTTTCCCTCCATAAAATTCATTTTCCTTTTAATATGATGACAGTTTATTAAGTAATCCAAACAGCCAGCTATGGAAAGAAACAGAGTACACAAAAGGAAATATCCAGCTCATTCATTGTACATGAAACCAGTCTGAGAACATCGGAAAGAGCAATCTCTTCTCATATTTGCTCCCTTGTATGACAAGAAGCTCTGCTGACTTTCAGCACAAGGAGGTGTGCTGAACATCCTACGCTTAGGGAGCACAAAGTACACCAGAACACCACAGAGAAGTGGAGGAGATGCCGTTATGGGATCTTTACAAGGAGAAAGAAGTTTGTTAAGAATCTAGAGCCAAAGAACTTTAAGGTTACAAAAACAAAAACAGAGCCAAACTTTTTCCTCTCCATTTCAATACAACAGAAAGAGATTTGTAGTGTAAGACGAGTAAGGAGAATTAAACAGAATCCTTGGGAATCATAGACTCATTGAGTTGGGAGAGGCCTCATGGGCCATCCTGTCCAACCCCCTGCCAAGAAGCAGGAAAACCGCATTCAAAGCACCCCCGGCAGATGGCCATCCAGCCTCTGCTTAAAAGCATCCAAAGAAGGAGCCTTCACCACACTCTGGGGCAGAGAGTTCCAGAGAACAAAATATTTCTGTGCCCATTCTTGTAGGAATGCCATATTTCAAATTATGGAATAACAACAGGCTTTGCTTTTGGGATATTGATATAAACACCATGACAATATTGCACCCTACCCTCAGGACTAGTAGCTCTATACACACCTGCTCAAGGAGTGTATCTCCTTGAGTTGTGTGGGACTCATGCCCACATATACATGCACTCTATTTTGTCTATAAAATAAAAATGAGCAAAAACTAAAGCTCCAGTAGTAGACTGAGGAATGCTTCTGGGAAAAGTTAGTAAAGATAACACATACTTCAAATTCCTGCCTATTTTATAAAATGTTGTTCTCCCTACTCTCCGGAGAACCAAATTAGGCTTCCAAGAGTTCTTTTTTTCCTTGTTTCAAAATCCTATACCCACCTCAGCAGCAGAAAGAGAAGACAGGAATTTCATACCATTAATTATTATGTAAAGAGAGAAAAGAATAGAGAAGGTACATTTTGACAGATACAACTTCTTCTTTTACAGTTCCATAAGCAGAAGAAAGGCTTCAGTAAACACAACTCCCTTTTTATCATAACTGTTAAAAGCCTTGTCCTCTGGTGCTTCTGATCATCCTGAATCTCAGTAACTTGGAGGCAATTCCAAGGCAGCAGCCTCAATGCTAACCGGAAACAATCATGACCATCATCCCCTATCATCTTTCTGATATAACAACTTAGCTGAAAGCAGCATTGTGCAGACAGGTGGATTTGAATTGGGCAAATGATAAGTAAAACCACAAAAAGATAGAGGCTACAAAGTATGTGTAGGAGGCATGCATGTCTCACCTGAAGGCTATGTCTGCTCAACCCATGCCAAGGAAAGGATCCATACTTTAGCCATCTCCAGTCAACGCCAAGTTCAAGAGTCCCCAAAGGTAGTATGTGTAATAATAGTCCAGACTCCAAAGACAGGCGCCTCAGTAAGAAGCAACCGAAGTGAAGTGAGGCAGCAAAAGCAGCCAAGACACGACTCTCTGGCTCAGCAGATGCTGTCGGCACTTGCTGCTGCTTCTATTGTCGAACAGCTTCGGAAAAGCCTAAATCGGCTTGGTCACTGCCACCTGCTGGATATTTAAATGACTGCTTGATCAAACCCTATAGGTTCCTAAGTCATTTGCAAATCTTTTGGAAATCCCAGAAGGGCTGCTGGAAGCAACTTTCCTCCTTCCCTTGAGAATAACTCTACGAAGTATAGTGTGTTATGTGGAATGCATGAAGGTTCACATCTAATGATAAGGGATTGTTCCGAACGTTTCAAGTAATACAATTCTATCTAGTCTCATCCTTATCACAAATTCCAATATCACACTGTCATCCACAGTAAGCATTATGAATAAAGATACTTTAGTGCAGGACATAGAGTCATCATGCTTAGGTCAGTATCTAAGGCCCCTTCCACACAGGTGAATAAATTCCCACATTATCTGCTTTGAACTGGAATATATAGCAGTGCGGACTCAGATAACCCAGTTCAAAGCAGATATTGTGGGATTTTCTGCCTTGATATTCTAGGTTATAGGGCTGTGTGGAAGGCCCTGAATCAGAATTCATTTTGCATTTTGTTCACTTTCCCTTTTGCTCCTCCTTTCTTTCAAAACTCTTCTTAATAATATCTTTAAAAGTAAACCCACATCTATACTCACACAGTTGTAATATTATCTGTTTCATGTGAGCTGGGATCCAGAAACTTACCATGTCAGTTAATATCAGACTTTTTTCTCACTAACGGAGTAATTTTTTTAGAGAGAGAGATCTCAATTTCTGTATCAATGATAGCTTGGAAAGTGACTGAAATAAAAATTACTGAATACTCAGGACTGATACCTGATATCTACTATAACGACAGGTCCACAGTACACAAGCAATGTTTTTGCATGCCTTCATTTCAAATAAAAGTCCTTGAAACATATAGTTTTTATTGTGTGCATGTGTATGTTTAAAAATTATATGTGGTTTCTGATTTTGGACAGGCTTTATGTACCTTTTTGCCAATATGAGAATAGGTAACTTGGAAGTCCATCAACAGACTCAGGAGTGGAGCTGGCAGATCAGAAGATAATCTGGCAAAGTGGCACTACCTAGAAGATTCCCCCACCTTGTGCGACTGTGGAACAGAACAAAGATGTCAGCATCTGTATGCTTGCCCACAATGTCCTGCCTCATGCACAGAGGAAGAATTTTTTAAAGCTACAGACAATGTTGCTGTTGCCCTTTTTGGACTAAAGCTATTTAGCTGCTTGTAACCTCTTTATTTTATCAGTTATAAATTTATTTTTGCAATGCTTTTGACCCAAAATAAATAAAGCTCTCGTGAATAAGGGCCAGATCCAAATCAATCAATGGAGTTACACCTGAAAGGGCATTCTATTCTCTACTTCCGCCATCTTTTCTTTCACCCTTTCCTTCAGTTGTGTCCCAGGAAGATGTAAGATGTAGTCTCCATTAAAAAAAGCTCTAAAGAACACTGGACTAAACCTAGCTGTGAGTTAGAACAAATATTGGATTTGGGCTATTATCTTCAAACTGATCCGCACCTCTTCTACTACTGCTTGTAAAATATTATAAGATTTTAGTACACTACCCTGCATACTATATTCAAGCTCTATATGAGTAAATAGTAAAGGAGCAGAAATTCCCTATACACTTTTGCTTGGGAGTAGGTTCTAATATAGCTGTGTAGTGAATTGAGCATTGGATTGCAATTCTGGGGAATAGGATTCAAATCACCAATCAGTGATGGGAATCCCTAGGTGACTTTGGGTAAAAAATGCTCTGTCTCAGAGGAAGGCAAGACATGCCCCCTTTGAATAAATTTTGCCACGCAAACCCATGATCGATTCACCTTGAAATTATCATAAGTTAGAAATGGTTTGAAAGCACACAACAACAACAACAACAACAACAACAACAGTCCCATTGAACCCAAAGGGCTTTATTTATTTATTTATTGTCATTATATACCACTTTTCTCACATCTGGGGGGGGGGGACTTAAAGTGGTTCACAACATAATCCATGGCAAAATTCTATAAAACATCACATATCAAATTAACTAAAAATAACAATAGATTAAAATCATTAGAACTATAAAACCATAAACAGCAATCACAAACACAACATAAAATATTTAACTCTTGCATTGATCCTAAAGTTATCTTAACTATTTCCATATTTCAAAACTCTTGTCATTCACTGAATGCCTTCTTGATCAACCAGGTCTTAAGTAGTTTCCTAAATGCTAGGAGGGAGGGAGCCAATCTAATCTCAGTGGGGAGGGACTTCCACAGCTGAAGGGCCACCACTGAGGAGTCCCTGTCTCTCATCCCCGCCAATTGCACCTGTGAAGTTGGCAGGATCGAGAGTTGGACCTCCATGGTAGATCTTAGTGTCCTAACTGGCTCATAAAAGGAGATGCATTCGGACAGGTAAACTGCATTCCAGTAGCACCTAGAAAGAAGTAATTCCTAGCATATTGTAATGGACAATGACTACCAAAGCCTATGCTAGAAGTTTCTTCTTCTCATTTAGTTCCAAAGGTGATACTGGATTCCTTTGTACCTTTTCATGCTAAAACGAGACATGTGACTATTTCTGATTGTTTATTTGGGAATAAATTTCATTTTAGAACAGAATAAATAGGCAAAGGGACTATTCTGAATGTATCTCCCAAACGTTTTAATAGCAGAGGAATAAACTGTACTAATTGTATACAAAACAAGCAAAAATTAATACTGATACTTTTCATGCCTTATCTGCAAGTAGTTAATAGGATTAACATCTATCCATATAAGATTTGGAAACCTGTTTAACTTGCCATCTGTTTCTCAATTGATTCTACATTTGACCATAGTAGGAATTAGAAAAGCCCATAATTGTAGGCTTGTTTGTACATTAAATCTCACAAATATTGGACTATATTTTGTTACAACAAACTGGTGTCATTTGGGGGCACTGATTCAAAAAACTGCACCAGCTCTAGTTCTGTAGATATGGTTATCATGTTTTTTATGGGTGACCAGATGGTGACTTGTAGATGGCATGTACTATGTTTCTACAAAAACTAGAGATCAAAGGGGAAAACTGGTGCCATTTTTAGAATCAGCTGGTCAAATATACCCAGAAACGGGGCTGACATTTGCGGCACCAAAATGTGTTGGCCAGTGGAATGGTAAGAAATGTTGGAAGCTGCAGTTCAACAATCTCCAGCAGACTGCACAATTTCAGTAACTGCTTTAGAGGAACCAGAAACCCCCGAAGTGCCAAAGATGAGAGATAATGCTGTCTTTCCCACCTAGCAAATCATTTAATACCCACTGCCTTATCTCTCCCCAGCTACATGTAAATCTCTTTAGATACTTCCAGTGCAACCTTAGGTAAATGCTCACTTTTTCCTTACTATATAATGAGACATCTGAAATACCTTAATTTGCCTTACAATAAGTCTCCAACGGTTTGTCAGCGTGTGCTTTATATCTCCATTTAAAACTTCCAACTCTTAATGTAATCACAATATCCCTACTGCTTTTCACTCCCCCTCTCTCCCGTCCCAGGAACATTTCTTCTTTTTAATGGCTTCATGTAATGGTTTTATAACTACAAGTTTATTTGTCCGCCTCTCAGTCTTCCTGTAGCTCAGTCCCCATAATATTAATGGATGGTGAGAAGCATGGTGGGGGGTATTGTGGGAGGAGAGTCCTTTGTACAATTAATTGTGCATTGATGTTGGATCTCAGGACAAGCTTTTACTCTCCCCCCTAAACCCTCTGAAGGCCCAAACCGCCCTAAGCCTCTTTGGGGTGATAGGGCGTTATAGTGTAAAGTTAAAGGCTTCCCCTTGGCATTAAGTCTCATCGTGTCTGACTCTGGGTGGTGGTGCTCATCTTGATTTCTAAGCCAAAGAGCCGGCACTGTCCATAGATGCCTCCAAGGTCATGTGGCTGGCATGACTACATGGAGCGCCGTTATCTTCTCACAGGAGTGGTACCTATTGATCTACTCACATTTGCATGTTTTTGAACTGCTACATTGGCAGAAGCTGGGGCTAACAGCGGGAGCTCACCCTGCTCCTTGGATTCAACTTTAGCAGTTCAGCAGTTTAACCTGCTGCGCCACCGGGGGCTCCAAGGATGGTATACATATATAAATTATTATGATTATGATGGTTATTAGAGAAGTTTAAAAATGCTAAAACACACTAAAATGGCAAGAAATTCAGTTCAGTTTTTTAAAAGATGGATATTTCAGCTAACCAGTACAGGATGTCACTACAGACTAAAACCTTAATTGCTTCGTATGAAAACAGCTATGGATCAGCCCTATGGACTCATGAGCATTGTAGTTTTACAATATGTTTAGCCTTTTCAGACAAATAGTGCAGGTACCTCACCACATTACAATTCCAATGACCCCATAATATTAAGTCATGGCAATTACAGTGGTGGCAAACTGCATTAATTCTACAATGTAGATGCGCCCCAGGCTGATCCACCTCCTTCTGCCAGTAGGCAACGGTATGTAGACATAATATTTGTTATTATCTGGTTGCGGTAGAAAGGTATTTTAGTCAGTTGGTGCTACAGTGCTTCTATTTGTTATGTTTTAAAACACCTTTAACCTATTTAAATTATTGCTGTTTTTTAACAGGATAGTTTATAATGGCTTTTATTACGACGAGTGCAATTTTTTTAAAGCTGGGTTTTGAGCTATGTTATTATTTTTAAGGTCTCACATTGGAAGACAGATTGGATATTCAACAAATAAATTAATCTGTGGAGAAACTACTCATCCAGCTCTACTTCCTCAATTTCTCTCTTGCCAAGCTTCTACCTTGGGGTCAGTCATTGTAGATCCAGAGGGGCAGGGCAGCTGTATCTTTCCATCCCCTGCACCCTTTCCTTCTACATAGTTGCTAAATCTGTTCTCCTGTGAACTGCATGAGAAATGCCACTTCTTGAGTCCTGCTGATGCATAACATTCTCCGTTTCTCTTATGTGCAATGCCTGAAGGGGAAGAAATCACACT